GGATTGCAGTGTGGCCATCTCCTCTGGGGGGGTGATTTCTCGCTTTCTGTCTCTATGTCTCTGTCTGTCTGGCGAGCGCATGCGCCCTATAGCAAAAACCTCTCCAAAAAAAAAAAGAAAAAATATCCTTAAGCAGTACGATACATGTCAGAATCAACGTTAGGATTCAGGCCTGCCTGACTCCAAGTTTCACTTCTTCCACCACATTGAGTTGCCTTTGTGCCAAACCCACATATTCTCTTAGGTTGTTCAGTGTCGTTTCAAGGGCATGTCACAATATGGCTTACAAAAGCAGAGAGAAAAAGCAGGCCTGTGGAGAGGGAGGGAGAGAGAGAGGAAGAAAGGGCTCATGAGAGAGGAAGCAGACTTTTTCCCTTCCCGTCTGTCCCTCCTACGGCCCCAGCCAATCGGATGGTGCTCACCAATGTTGATGTTGGATCTTTTCCAGCCCACAGATTTGCACGTCAATCTTGTCTAGCAAGATATCTGCCCCCATAGGAGGCAAGTCTTCATCTTAACTGTCTTACCACCTCCCAATGCCCTTAGAGACTAAATTCCAACATATGAACCACGGGGGAACAAATCATGCAAACTATAGCAAGTATGCTATAACTGTTGATACTTACATGGTTCAGGACAAGGTGCTGGGAAAAACAAAATCATGAGAAAGAGTAATGTGCAAGTGCTGAACTATCCGATCTTATATAAGCTACCTGTAAGTAATGTCACCTAATTTTCAGAATGATTCGTTTTCTATTTTCTAAACATATTTTAGAATTTTTTTTTCTAAGAAAAGCAATGAGGGCTTGGTTCTCTTTCACTGTTCATAAGACAGTGAAAAATCCTGTTCAGCTAAATTGCTCTTATATTATCCATTTCTTACCCCAATGAGAGGTGATTTAAATATTTGGCCACCAGGTGCCATGGTCAAGGCACTGGACTCCCGCATGACCAACTGCAGTTTGAGTCTCAGACCTGGTGGCTTGAAAATCATGCCAAGAGGAACCAGTGGATGGTGCAATAGTTATGTCACTGGACTCCCATGTAGTCGACTGCATTTCAAGTCCTAGATCTGAAAACTTAAAACTCACTCTAGGAATATGCGCATGCATGCCCAAAATCCCAAGAAGAGAATGGAGGAGAAGGGGCTGTGGTATACTCAACCACCTTAGGTGATTTCTCTTTTTCTGCCTCTCCAGTGAGCACATGTACCCTAAAGCAAAAATCTCTCAAAAAAAAGAAAAGAAAAAAAAGAAAATCATGGCTGCCAAGTGCATGTGCATGCGTGCCCAGAATCCTGAGAGGTGAATGGAGGAGAAATGATTACAGTGTGGCCATTCCCCTGGCGGGTGATTTCTTATTCTCCCTCTCTCTGTTCTTCTCGGACTAGTGCACATGTCCTACGGTAACCCCCGCCAAAAAAATTGGCAACCATATTACATTTCTAAGAATGTTACAACGGTCAACTTGACAAAGTAGATAGTTTTCTTTCTGGTTTTTACTCAGGAAAAACCTAGCCCAGTGTTCCAAATCTCTGACCGCTGACTTCAGACTCTTGGATTTGGAGGGGTTGGTGTGGAACTGAACCAGGCTCACAATACACACTGTGCTAGGAACTAAGGAATCTCTCTAGGCTTACACTCCTAGGATATCTGAGGCTGTTCTGATTCCTTTTCACTAGCTGATGGCAACCTTGATATTGGCTTTGATTTCTCACCATGGCGCTTTATAGGCTTCATGTACTGATTTTTTTTTTTTTTTTTGGAGGGTTTTTCCATAGGGCGCATGCACCCAACATTTTGCTATAGGGCGCATGCACTCACCAGAAAGACAGACAGAGAAAGCGAGAAATCACCCAGGGGGGATGGCCATGCCACAATCCCTTCTCCTCCATTCTCCTCCCGGGATCTTGGGCATGTATGCGCATGCACCCAAGCATGAGTTTAAGCCACCAGGTCCAGGACTCGAACTGTGGTCGACTATGTGGGAGTCCAGTGACATAGTCATTATGCCAACTGCTAGTCCCCACGCACTGATCTTATATGTCTGCCATTTGAGATTCACTTCTTTGGTTTAAGGGTCCATCCATTTGGGTTCTCTATCAAGGACAAAGCCCTCTGTCCAAATAGGGCAAATAGTCTCTATAACCTTAAAAAAGAAATTCTGCAGTGAACTTTTCCCTCTTGTTAAAGAAAGCCCAGAAGAACCTGACAACTGGGACTCACAGTTAGAAGGAAGTGTGGGGTCGTGGGGGCAGGTGGCATGAGCAGATGGCATAGAAGTTACATTGCTGGTCTCCTACATGGCCAACTGCCATTAGAGTCCTGGACCCAGTGACTTGAAAATCACACTGGATGCATGTGTGTGCATGCCCAAGATCCCAGGAGAGGGATGGAGGAAAAGGAATTGTGATATAGCAGGAGAAATAACTCTGGGGGGTGATTTTTCACTTTCCCTCTCACTGTCTGTCTGTCTCTCTCCAGTGAGCACATGTGCCCAAGGCAAAAACCTTATAAGGAAAATAAAAGTGTTGACGTAAGAAACGTGGTGATGCCATTAGCACCCAGGGATATCTACATCATCTTTCACTGATTCTATGTCCAGAAAAAGGCCTGACACAGAAAACAGTTAAAATTTTTCCAAAAGGCAAATGCCAGACTTCTTCCTAATTTGGCTGAAGGGAGACTATGACTTACTTGAAAATAATGAGAATTTTTTTAAGTTATATGTATTTCTTCTGAGAGAGAGAGAGACACAATACCCTTAATAGGGTCTTGACACCACAATCTACTCCCAGGACCCCATTTATTCATTAAGTATTTAGTGAGTATCTATTATGCATTAAGCATTTCGCTAAGAAAGGGAGCTAGGGTCAGGAGGTGGTGGGGTGATTAAAGGGTTTGGAGCCTATATGGCCAATTATGTGGTTTGAGTCCTAAACTTGCAGCTCAAAAAGCACTCCAAGCACACGTACGTGTGTGTGTGTGTGTGTGTGTGTGTGTGTGTCCACAATCCTGAGAGAGAATGGAGGAGAAGGGATTGTGGCATGGTCATCCCCCATGGGAGGTGCTTTCTCACTTTCTCTTTTCGGCAGGCATACATACGCTATAGCAAATATTAAATAAATAAAAGGAGCAATGCAATAAAAGAGACATGCATGATCTCACCCTCATGGAACTTGATGTCAAGTCCCAAGAAGAAAAGGTAAACAAATGCAAGACATTTAATATATAATTAGTGCTTTGAATGGGTACCTGATCTGCAGAGGAAAGATAGAACATTATTAGAAAATGCTTCTGTGAAGAAGTGGCATATATGTTGGTCTATTCAGAATGACTAGGAGACAATTACACAAAAAGCTGGAGAAAAGAGCATATGCAAAGGGCCTAGGGCAAGAAAAAGCTTCTTACATGCGAAGAGCTAGCAAGACCAATGTAGCTAGTAATACAGTGAGTGGGTAGAAAAGAGACATTTGATGATGCCGGAGAGCATGTCATAGATGCTGGAGGCTGGCTATGGACTTCGAAATTTATTCATGAACTGACAGGAAACCCTCTGAAAGCAGGACGATGGCACAGTCAGATTTATATTTTCAGATTCTCTTTGTGGGCTGCAGTTGAAGAATGGAAAATGAAGGTAATAACAAGTGAAGAGGCTATTGTGGGGTCAGTCCCACATGGCCTGATCACCATGGACCACTGTGAAACTGCCCCTACAAGCTTGAAAAACACACCAGGGACAGCTGTGTGGGTACCTGACAGGATGGAGAAATGGAGGAAAAGGGATTTCTCTCTGTTTCTGTTTTTCCCCCTCTCCTAATGTGTTCAACAAAACTATGACTTGAATTGGGGTAGTGGCAGTAATGAAAAAGAGGGTAGGAAGGATATTTAAAAAAAAAAGTGGGGGGGGGCTCCACAAAGTCTGAAACTAGCTTGGATGTGGTGGGTGATGGTTTTCAGTAACATGTCCTTCCTAGAGGACATTATTCCAAAACTAACTACCCTGACCCCCAGAGCCTGGTGACACATGAAAAACTGAAAAGAAAAAAAAAAAAGAAATCAAATGTGGATCTACTCTCCAGCCCAATGGCCCCACACAATTCTGCTTCTCATGGTAACTATACACTTACAGCATTAGAAACGACTGTCAAAAAAAATCCACTTTTACACCACTCAAGGCTAGTGCCTGTCCTTAGCCTGGCTTGTTCGTTTGGTATCCTGGGTGTCAGCATCTATAAAAATTACGTTCTCAGGCCTTCTCGTGAAGCCAGGGAAAGCTGTATGAAGTGTGAACAGTTGGATGAACGTAAAGTTCTCTTCCTCAAAGACTTTCTCTTTAAAGGAAAAATAGATTTACTTTTCCCTATGAACTTGAACAGAATTTCTATTCATCAGTTTATTTAAACTGTTTTGGAACAGAGAACAGCTAGGTCTTCCTTTGGGAGGTTTTTGAGATATTTAATGTTGATACAGGAAATTATCTGCTCTTGAATTGTCCAGTAAATCAATTATTTTTATTTAAATATTTTTTCCTATTTTTAGAATCGGGTAAATCCAAACCCAAGAGAGTCACACATTCTTCTTGCGCATAATTCTGTGCAAATATTTATGTCCCTTTTCATTCTCCCCCCCCTTTTTTATTTTTATTTATTTTTATTTTATTTCAAGTTCTTTTATACATTCAGTCATGTTATTTAGCTTGCAAAAGTGAATATTAGGACATGTGTACATTTCTCCCCAGTCCAGTTCATAATACTATAAAGTTATCTTCAACAGATAATACCCCATTTCTTTGTCCCATTAATGCTAAGCCTCTCTATTTTTCTCCTTAATGTCCTTCCTCAGACTCTACTCCTTCACCCACCCTCTTCCCACGCTATATCTGCTATTAACAACCATTTACTATGTTTCTATATCCTTTAGTCATTCAGTTTCGGTCATAGAGTACAGACACTCCCCCTTTAGATCAAGTTAATGTGTTTGTGTTGACTATTTACACAGTCTCTTATTTGGGGTTTTCGGCTGTTCTGTTCTTCTGTAGCCACGGGTTTCAAGCATAAAGGCAGGCAGGCAAAACTTTGCCCTAGTTACCTATTGTTTGGTGAGGCTGTTTCTAGTTCAGGTTCTTGAGCTCAACGAGGTCCACATTTAGGACTAATTAACTAGTCACTGGTTGCAAATTAATTTGCTTTGGGGGAGGAGGTATTTGAGATAAACATGATAACCTTAAAAGTAGATGTTTGTACAATTGGATAAATTAAGCAAAACTAAATTGTGGAGTTGGGAGCCAAGATCCACGTAAAGCTTTGTGAAGAAGAATGTAATGATGGTTCATTTTGCTAAAATCAGATCCCAGCAAAGGCCCTGGTGGTGGGGTTTTGAATGAGAAATGAGATAAGTGGGTTCTGAATCTCTTTAAGAAGCTCCTTGTTTTTGTTTTGTTTTTCAATACAATCACATTTTCCTTCACAATACATGGGCCTGTTCGTAAAAGCTGAAGATAATAAGCACACATAAGAAGGGGGTGACTTGGAGTCGGCAGGTGTGAGGGGTTAAGGGCACTGGACTCCCAAATGGCGGACCACGGTTTGAGTCCCAGACCTGGTGGCTTGCTTTCTCTCTTTCTCTCGCTCACTCGCTTTCTCTCTGTCTCTCCCCCTCCATCCCTCCCTCTCTGATCAAATTAAAATAAATAAGTAAATAAAAGTTAAATAAAGTATATCTTTAAAAAAGTCTTATAAAACAATAGAAAGCTTTATGGAAACAGATCTAATTAGAGATCATGTAAATTAAGGGTAATGATCAGTAAAATAAAACCCAAGAGATGAATTAATAGCAGACTGAACAGAGTAAAACAAATTAGGGGGATGAAGAATTTAAACTATGGAGCTCTCAAACAATGTGTAGGGGACAGGAGTACAAAGAGCGAGTATGAGAAAATTTATATTCATGAAGGGTATACCCAAAAGCTCTCATATCCACTTCATAGGAGTTCCAGAGGAAGAAATAGAGAAAATGAAAATGAAGTGGTCAGAAAATTAACAAAAGCAAACACCCTAAAGCTGAAGGTGTTATAGTTTACTCAGTGAGAAATAAGAGGACATCCAGACAGCCCAATTTATTGCAGTTTATTGATTAAGCTGGCAGTATACAGGGGGGACTCACGTCTCTCAAAACCCCACAGCTCCGAGTGAAAGGAGAAAGGAGCTTATATGGGCTAAAGCTGCATAGTTGTTTTACAAGGACAAAGGAACAAAGTAAAGAGGCTTCAGGAGAGATAGGGGGTAGGGTTTTCTATCTTCAAAGCAAAAAAAAAAAGCCAGTTACAGAAGCAAAGCAAGCAGGTTAATTAGTCTTGAGGGTAAGTTCTGATTACAGTGAAATTTTAATGGTTTCCCTGGTTCCGGTCAAGGTTCTTGAGGCACCTGGGAGGGGGACTTCTTTGGATCTTACCTGTACTCGTGGGGACTAGAAGGAGGCACAGTTTCTAAGATGGAAGCACCCTTTCAAAATGGAGTCACACTTGTTTCATTCCCCACTTCTCTTGGAGGTACTCCTCCAAAATGGGGTCATGCCTGCTCCAAAGGTACATCGTCTTCATCCCTTTGCACTGCTGTAACAGACTACCTGACACTGGGCAATTTATAAAGAATTAAAAAATCATTTCTCACAGTTCTGGAGGCTGAGTCCACGTTCAAAGATGCCAGCAGATTCAGTGTTCACGAGGGCAGATCCCTCTGCTTCTAAGACAGTGCTTTGTTATGCTGCACTCCCAGAGGGGAGGAATGTTATGTCCTCACAGGTCAGGGAGAATGGAAGGGCCAGGAAACCCAGAAGCCTCTTTTTATAAAATCCTTCATCACATTCACCAGGGGAGAGCCCTGTGCCTAATCACCTCATAAAGGCCCCAGCAGTTGATACTATATAACATCAGCCATTAACTTTCAACACCTGAATTTTAGAGACGACACATTCAAACCATAGCATGGTTATAAGATTTTAGTTTTAAATGGCCCATATTGTACTAAACAAAATATATTAAGAACAATAATAAACCTAGCCCAGGCTGGCAGGTGGAGTGCTAGTTAAGGCACTGGATTCCCACATGGCCGACCATAGTTCGAATCCCGGACATGGCGGCTTGCTTTCTCACTTTCCTTCTCTCTGTCTGCCTCTCTCTGATGAATGCAAGTGCACTATAGCAAACAAAATAATAATAATCATTAATAATATTAAGTAAGTAATAATTAAAAAAAATAAATCTAGCCATAGGCATATCTGCATGAAATTTCAGAACCCTAGGAACAAAAAATAAAACTGTAGAACACTTCCAGAGAGAGAAAGAAAAAGATTTCTACAAAGTATTGAGAATCATTCTTATTGACAAAAAAGGGTACCAAAACACAAAGACCAAAGTGCTGGATTATTAATGTTAATAATCCTTATTAACATTAAATTCTATATTCTAAAATTATAAGTGAAGAGTGGAAGTATTGCAGGATGGCTTCAGCGATGTCCAGATTCTTAGTGTTTTGTACAAAGAATTGAATGAAACTCACCAGTAGCGAAAGCTTAAATTAGTTTAATTAAAAGTAAAAGTACACTCCCAAGAGGCAGGAGCTGGTCTGAGCCAAGATAGAGCAGGTCGAGGGCCCCAGCAGTTACATTCTATGAGGTTTATAATTTTTTTTTTTGAGAGTTTTTTGTTGTTGTTGTTGCTATAGGGAACATTCGCTTGCCAGACAGACAGAGAAAGACAGAGAGATAGAAAGCGAGAAATCAACCCCCAGGAGGGATGGCCACGCCACAATCCCTTCTCCTCCATTCTCCTCTCGGGATCTTGGGCACACATGCATATGCGCCCGGCGTGAGTTTAAGCCACGGGGTCCGGGACACGAACTGCGGTCGACTATGTGGGAGTCCAGCGACATGGCCATTACGCTAACTGCTGGTCCCTATAATTTGTTTTTTTTAATCTATCATTTGGTTTTTAGTTATCTTAAATCTTATGGCATAATTTACAAATCTATGCTGATGGTATGATGGTTTATCTCCTCTACTTTAATCCTTCTAATAAATTGGCAAATCACCATTACCTATCACACATATACAGTAGTTCTTTAGTTTCTATTTGGTTTTGAACAATTGTCTAACAATCCTGAAATATAACTTAGTCTGATTTATATAATAGACTTCAACAGTAAAATCTAATTTGCTACTAAATCTTGTTACACTGACTTTAAAAAGCATCTGACTACAAATCATTTATAAAATGTGTAAAATGTTACATAGTCTTTGTTTGGTAGTATACACAAACCACACTAAAATGTCTTTTTTTATATAAAGTTTTTTTTCCCCAAAATTATTTATTTTTATTTTTTAATTTGACCAGAAGGAGACAGATAAAGCAAGCTGACAAGTCCAGGCCTCAAACCACAGTCAGCCATGTGGGAGTCCAGCACCTTAACCACCATGCCACCTGCTGGCCCCCCTAAAATGTCTTTTAATAAGTAAAAGGCAGTGCTTTGGATACAGGGAATTCTAATTAAATAGGCATAGTTATGACCAAATGCCTAAAGTAGACATCACTACCTTATCTTCAGGCCTTGCCTTTAATGATTTAATGAACACAAATTAAAACACAGGTGAGGGACCAGCCGTTAGCGTAATGGCTATGTCGCTAGACTCCCATGTAGTTGACCATGGTTGGAGTCCCGAACCTGCGGCGTGGCCATCCCCCCGGGGGGTGATTTCTCGCTTTCTATCTCTCTGTCGAAAAAACCTCTTTAAAAAATTAAAATAAATGAATTAATAAATAAAATTAAATAGTGAAATCTTTTTTTAAAAAATTACTTGAATTTTTACTTTGTAAAAATGCAAAATAGAAGATCAAGCCAAGGATTTTCTTAAAAAATAAAAATAGTGGGTTGAGTAGCTTCTGCTCTGGCCCATGAGCTGGGCACTGCTGGGTACTGCTGGGCTCACTGTGCTGGGTTGCACTGGGATCGGTGCTGGTGTGCTCAGCTCAGGAGACCTGACAACTGCAGTGTTTCTGGTAATGCTCTATGAATACTCTCCACTTTTCTACATCAAGGTAGTCTTTACCTGCTTCATCATGACCACCAGCCTAGTACTAGGCTGTTGGTTGGGATGTTCTAGTAACTCTGAGAAATTCAGGAGAGACCAGTTTAGCACAAGAGATTTCAAAAAACAAATGAAGCAATTCAAAAATTCTTTTGGCTTAGAAATCATTAATCCATCTTCAGCTTCAATTACAATGGCAATTTATCTTTATATTTTCAAACAGTATTAAAAAGGACGGAAAAAAAATAAATATATCACCAGTTACCAAGAGACACTGAAATTGAAGTCTTCGGTACAGTGCCCAGACCTCACTATCCATTGGTAGTGCTGTTGACCTTAGCTGATGAGGATGACCAAGACAATAATGCTATTACTTCCATGGTGTCAGTAAGCCGTATTCCTGATAAGACTCGTAAACTTTCCTGCAGAATATTGTGCCAATATTTACTCCCGGCTTAAGCTCAATTTCATGATCTTAAGCACTTTTCATGTCTCCAAATAATAATTCCACTTCTCCCAGCAATTCCTCTCCAGAAGAGAAAACCACAGACAAAAGTTTGCAGGAAAAATGCTGGACTCTGTGAAAGTGAGGGGGAGCCATCAGAGGAAAACAGCAGCGGCTGCACCGTTTGCCAGGATGGGGCAGTGAACTGGGCGCTCTCGCCGTGTGGACTCATGTGCCTGTGCACTGGCTGTGTGGGGTATTTTCAGCAGTGCCCAATGTGCAGGCAGCTTGTTCAGGAATCCTTTGCACTTTGTAGTCAAAAAGAACGAACTGAAACTCTTTGAAGATGTTGTCTCAATGGAAAAAGTACTTTCTACTGAAGATGCAGAATTTTGTGTTCTTAGAATTAATCATAATAGGGGGGACCAGTAGATGGCATAATGGTTACATTGCTGGACTCCCATGTAGTAAACTGCTGTTCAAGTCCCGGACCCTACAGCATAAAACTCGGGACCAGCAGTTGGCATAATGGCTATGTCACTGGACTGCCATGTAGTCGAAGGCGGTTTGCATCCCAGACCCGGTGGCTTAAAACACACTGGGCGCGTGTGCGTGCATGCCCAAGATCCCGAGAGAAGAACAGAGGAGAAGGGATTGTGGTGTGACCATCCA